TTATAAGCAGAGGTTGGATAGCCATCTGTCATGGATGCCTTAGCCAAGATTCCTGCATAGCAGGGAGTTGGACTAGATGAACCTTGGGTCCCCTCCAACTCAACAATTCTATGATTCGATGTTTTAGACCACAAACCCCAACATCCCCAGCCAGTATGGCCAACGGCTAACAGGATCTGGAGGGCGTCAGATTGGGGAAGGCTGCTTTATAACAATTACATAACCAGTGCAATGCATCAGCATCTACATAACTCAGCCCAGTTTTCACAAATTTCTGCTCAGTGCCTTGAGCTGTTCTGCATAGGATCTGCTAGCTTTTGTGTAACTGCAATGTGTCAATATTTACCAAAGTGTGGTTTTGACTACTTGCCTACGTTTCAGAACTTTATAGGTCTATTCTGTTTTTGATAGGCTAAGAGTTAATTCGTGATCTGAAATGGCTCTGAGTTTTGCAAAGCAATTGCTCAAACCAATAGGCTACTCACAAATCTGAGTTTACTCACAGAAGACTCAAAGGCAATACAGTTTCCATGAGCAAAAATTCCTGCAATTCCTGGCTAATGGAAACTTGCCCTCTAACTGTCTCCATTATCACACGACTCATGCAAACAGACCACTGCCATGAGCCATTCATGTATTGCAGATGTGATTCATAACCTAATCATCAGTTAAAATAGAGCCTTCGTTAACAAAATAAGAAACCAGACCACCAAACTACACAGGATACATTAATTCTGTATGAACAAAAAATCCAAATGGCAGAATATAAATGCTACGAATGTACCATTAAATATGAACAACAGAGCATTTTGAAATAAAACAATGTGTGACAATTTACTATTGTTTGCGAGAATACGAGTCAGGCTGCAACAGGAAATATTTTTCTTTTTCATCAATTTACCAGCACTGAACCATCAAAATGCTTTGTTTTCAGGCAAGCAAATGAGATAAACTTTATTAGCTGGGAGGCATAACCCAGCATTGTGGTCTGCTCTGCAAGGCAAAGCAAACAGATGCAAGGTCATCCCAGGTGCTGCAAGGGAAAGTTTAATCTTGTTCCAATTAGATGTTATCAGGGAGAGGGCATTGCAACACCAAGGGCAATCAGATCACCAAGAAAAAACTCACCCTGTCCCCTAGTGTGGTTGGTGCCCATTGGGACTGGTGGGGCTTCAGAAGGCACAGAGCCCAACAGAAGGAGCCAATGACAGGAAGAGCCAACCAAGGCCACATCTAAGGCTACATCTAAATGCATTCATCCTAACCCTTACTTGAGCATCTCAACATTGCATAACCTGCCAACCAACTGAACATCAGAAATGAAAATGTATCAACAAAATGGCAAGAGGGCCGAAGGCAGGAGGGGAATCAGGTAGAGCAGGGAATACAAGGCTGTACTGTTTTACTGTCACAATGTGCAAACCCCAATAAACTATAGATAAAAAGTGCCATGATATCACATGGAGATCCTGGGGATTGAACCTTCTGCATGCAAAGCAGATGCTCTACTTTCCCTCCAAGGAGTTCCTCAATGCTCCCTACATGAACTGGTCCCCTGGGTCTCAATATGTTAGACAAAAAAACCTAAAAACGTCTTCTGTGGCATCTATACTGTTGTCTCCAGAGCCAAGTGAAGGCTGTTCTACATACCCAGGCTTTCCAGACAGATAGGGAGACACATAAATGCTTAGTGCTTTTCAGTATCTTTTGCACTGTTGTTATCTTCTACTATGAGCTTTAATCTGTTTTTATTCTCCCCCCGCCCCCGGCTTTATATTGTAAGTTTTATGTCCCTTTTTTACACCTCATGGTCTTTGTTTTTATTTGTGATATGCCCAGAAAACTGCATAGAAATGTTGCAGATAAAAATAAAGAAGTACCTGAAAACTGGGTGGGAAGTGAGAAAGAGAGACTCACCAGATTGACGGAATAGGTCACTGTCCACAACCTTCGTCATGCAGTTGAGCTTCTGTCTGACGAGCTGGTTATCTGGGATGCTTTGGATGAACTTGCTAAAGAGGACACTGGGAAGCAGAGTGGGGGGGGGGGAGAGAACAGTTTTGGTCCTATTAACATTATAAGCACTCTCTTCAGCTGCAGATTTGCTTATTTATTACAAGGATTTCTATCACATCCGTCCAACCATCTCCTGGTGGTCTTGCATAAATGAAAATCAGAAACACACAGTAAAGACAATTTTAAACCAACATACATGTAATAAAAGCAGCAAGATAGTCTCAGATTAAGATTTTTGTGTACTGTTTGTTTTGTTTTTAGAAAAATATTTAGACATTCTGACAACTAACAGAAAATATTGTGATGCACAGATTTACAAAGAAAAAAGAATGCACATGGTTTTACATTTCCGTTTTTTTAAGGTACATGGTGTTTTTACAACGTCCTGGACAGTGTACATGATTCCGCATTTTTGCATGATTTTTTTGCCTCAGGGGGCTCCCTCTTTCAATAAAATCGTTATCAGCTCGTCTTCCCTCTCTTATCCTAATAATATTTGCCAATTTTACTATTTGGACACATTCACAGATTCTTATGTTCTTGCCATCTAGTGTACAGTTAACGCTACTGCATTGTGTCTTCTATGTACCGTTAAGCAGACCACCATCAGACCAGCAATAGTTAACCTAGAATGTTTGAACTGTTGAGCTGCAGCTATGGGAGTTGGGGGCACTTCTCCCCCTTCTTGGAAGGATGTATCATTCTATACTTGGGGTTTCAAGAAGCTACTATGCTCTTTTGCTAAACCAAAAATTGACGTTTACGTTGGTCAGATTGACTGGCAACCTTGAAGGGTTTCTGCCTTCTCATTTAACCTCAGGCTTGGCTAAGCTGCTTGAAACATCTGCTTTTAATGAATTTTCTATTCTTCTTCTTCTTTAATAAATTAATTACATTACATTACTGCCCTTCATCCAAAGATCACAAAGCAGTTTACAATAGAATATCTGCTTTTGGAGATGTTTCACTTCTGTTTACTGTTAATTTGTGCTGGACACGCATAACATGGGATGTGTATATCCCACAATTTCTGCAATCACAGAATTCAGTAGCCTCCTATTCAGCTACCATTTCAAAAAATAAGATCACCCTTCTAGTCCTCAAGGTGGTGAAAACAGGCTTGCAAATATGTGATGCTTGGGGAAGCATCAGAAGGGAGAAGAGGGGAATGGGCTCTGATGCCTTGCACAGCTCCTGCCCCTTTCTGATGACCACAAATGCAAAATTAGGCAGCATAAAGCCACACATGTAAAACTGCATCTATGTCACAGAGTACATTCAACCCATGGCGATTATGGTTGCTGAAGAGCTATAGTTTAGTGGTAAGTGCTTTGGACACAGAAGGTCCCGGGTTCCATCTCCAGCATTTTCAGTGAGATAAGAAAACTGAGGAAAGCTGGATTAGATGGACCAATAGTCTGACTCACTACAAGAAAACAAAGAGGGACGGAACAAGCATTATGTTGCAGTGTATTGTCCTCCCCCTAAAAGGAGTGCTCTTGTTCAGGATTCCACACAGCCATCCCACCAATTAAGGCACCCCACTTTTTCCTACCTGTTCTGTTGCCCCCCCTTCAACATACACTCAATATTGCATGGCCAAGGGGCCATTTTGTTACAGTGGGATGTTTTGTTTCCAGAGTGGCTGGAGCAACCCAGTCAGATGGGTGGGGTACGATAATAAGGAGGATGAGGAGATTTCGCCCCTCCCATATCCAAGAATCTGCTGATGAGTCTGGTGATTTTCCAGAGAGGAGGGGCGGTGTTCTGCTCTCTACTTATTCCGCTCCAGCCTAACATCAGTCAGTCAGTCAGTGTGTTGGAGAGAGAGAGACTGAGTGTTAGAGAGAGATCGTGTGTATAGATAAGGTTGCTGCTAAGAGCAGCTGCAGGCACTCAGTGCGGTTCAGCATTCTTTTATGCTTAGACCTCATTTAGCTCTGTATATAGTTGTGTATTACAGTTGTAGTTATAGAATAAAGAAGATATTCTACAGAGCTGCTCTCTGAGTCGTTTATATGCTCTGCTAGACTCTGCTATACTCTGCTGTGTGACGACTGTCTTCTTGTGGAAGTGAATCCGGTGCTCACAACTCTAAGCTGTGAGTCCACAGCACTTTGACCTGTTCCTGTGCAGAAGGTGATCTCTGGAAGTGCTACCCAGCTCGCCTAGCCCAGTCGCGGCTGAAGTGGATGAGTCCAATTGGTGACGCTGGCTCAAGGGTGATGCTGACAGAGGATTCCTTACTAATTTACTAAAACACGGGGGGACCGGACATGTCTTTTAAAACATTTCTTGTGCTTTTGCAAGCCTGCATCCTTCCACCGCAAATATGCGGATATCTCTTCCTTCTCAGGGGCACCATTTTAACTCTCCCATTGCCACTCACCACATGTGTTCACCATCAGCAGGTGTGTCTGAAGGCAAATCCCCATGAGAATTCTATCCTGCATAATTCCAGCTACAGAGTGCTATGAAGTCAATCCTATAAGGGCTCATTAACAACAGAACAGGGCCAAAAATTGCTTCATCAACACACACACTCATTGGTTTTTAGAAAGTCTCTTGACAACTTTGGTGGATTTTCCATCCAATAGATTTTTTTTTAAAAAAAAATATATATCCTATAATGCATGGCTATCACTTTGTCCATCTGCAACTACTAATCCATCTTGTCTGGCCTGCAGCAGGAAGAGGAAAAGAGGAAAAGAAAATGTTTTATAGCTACCTGAGTTCAACAGGATCAAATACCAGTTTCACATCATTGATGATGTTTGGTAAATACTTCAAGGCAGCACCCTGCAAGATACAAGAAGGAAGTGGGGAAAGAAAGTTAATCCCTTCACTCTAAAAACTAGACACAGGAAAACAGGAAGCTGCCCTACACTGAGTCTGACCATTGATCTATCTTGATCAGTCTTACCTACACAGACTGGCAATGGCTCTCCAGGGTTTCAGACAGGCCCCTTTCCCCGAGTCCTACCTGCAGACGCCAGGGACAAAACCTGGAGCCTTCTTCATGCAAAGCAGATGCTCTAACCCTGAGCTACACCTCTTTCCCATTCTCCAGGTCTTAATGTGGACCACAAGGCAGTTTCCCCTATGCCTCTGATGTCATTTGTGGGCAAGCAAAGACAGCTCTGCAAATGTGCTCCCAACAAGTGTCTGCCAGCATTCTGAGAAGTGAGCATGCTCAGTTCTCATTCAGCTGTTTGGGGCCTTGCTGATGCCTTCTCTCTTGTGTAGAGATGGTGTCATTTTGGCTAAAGCAGCAGCGGCACATTGGTGCCTCATCCCAGAAGCACCAAAACTGTGGCTGCCTCCATTTGATTTCCATGGGCAGCTCTCACTATTATCCCAGGAGGCATTTAAAAATCGTTCCTCAGTGTGAACCAAGAAATAGCCTGCCTACACAATATAACTCATCCTCCTTTCCAGACATTCCACTCAGTTCCCCTTCTCTTACCTTGTTTCCAGGAACGCAATTCCATTACCCCTTCTACCCAGTTTCTAGTTTCCCCCCTTTTTCATCGATCAGTTAGTATTCCATGGGCACTCAGCATGTTCAGTACTGCCAAGGCTGGCTTTTTTTGGGGGGGGGAGTACCCCTTAAGTTTTTATTTCCTTAAACTTCAGGAAATGTCACATTTATTCAGAAGCTGCTGCTATCTTCCCTGTCCTGTGTGAATATGGCTCCATTTTGGCTCCACAAGCAATGCCACTTGATAAACCGAATCAGATCTTTACCTATAAAAGCCCTAAACAGTTTGGGACTTGTTTATGTACAGAAATGCCTCTACCCATGACAATCTGCTGGAGAGGCCATGCTGGTGGTTCCAAATGGAAAATAAATATGTGGGTTACTTAGACTGGTGCCAACAGTGTATAGCTTCTGGTAGCAGCTGAAAAACAGCCTTTTTGTTCAGTTTTCTTTAGTAAAGTAGTCATAATGATCTGTATAGTGCAAATTCACTGATAATCGAACATCATATGTTTGATACAATCTGCCATTGCGTCTTGCAACAAAGAGTGGGATGTAAATTGAAAAAATAAACATGTTTTCAAAATAGAGGGGAGGGGGGAGATAAACTGAATCAGAATACAGCAGGGGTCGCTAACCTGTGGCCATCCAGATTTTGTTGGACTACAACTCCCATCATGATTGTCCATGCGCCATGCTGGCTGGGGCTGATGGGAGTTGTAGTTCAGCAACACTGGGATGGCCACAGGTGAGCCACTCCTGGAATGCAGGAACAAAGAAGCCCTTGTAACTGAAGCCACGTCCGTTTCAGATAATGGCAACAGACTCAGGCTAACCTTGATCTTGACAGCCTCCTCAAGAGGCCTGTCCATGAGGATGTTAAAAGAGAGGAACAACTTGCGGATGGCATTGTTAAACTCATCTCCATCTTCGCTTTTCCCGTAAAACCTAAAAGAGAGAGAAAGAAAATTGCCCTAATTATGCAATTGCTGATTATAGTTAAAAAATAACATTACAACAAAAGTGTCTCTTTCTATACATTATGTGCTTTTAGGCTGCAGACCTATGCAACCTTACATGACAGTAAGCCCCACTGAACACCACAGGATTTACTTCTGAGTAAAGAGGCAAACCACACACTGTGCTGTTAGCTGTTAATTAGGATTACAGCCTAAGAGAAGCACAAGAGGGAAGTAGAAAAATATGATTCTATATTTAGTGTTGGTTTGAAGCAAAGAGCTTCTTATTTCCACTCACTTGACTTTGAACACAATTGGGCTTTCCTGAAATATGGCAATGATTCTCTGGAAATAAATTATGCATAAATAACATGGGGAATTCCTATAAGCCCAGCTGTGTTGTTCCAGAAAGAAATCACTGTGTGCTGTTCCTTGAACATTAAAACATAGAACCTCTTGGAATGATTACATTTCTTGATTAATAAAGGCAAATAAGAGTATATACACCAAGCAACTTGGTTCTTCAGCAACTATGACTTTATATGCTCAGAATAAAATCATGAGCCTGAAATAGATGTTTGATGGCCGAGAACCTTTTTTTATTTTAGGTTAGCAGGCCTCATGGCTGTGTAACTTATTTATTTTTTATTAAGCTGGGTTGGGGATGCTAAGCTTGCAGAGGTAACAAGCAGCCATTTTGAATGGTATGCAGTCATCCTAACTGAAGGCAATAACAGAATCCAAATAGTAACAGGATAATAAGATCCTAATAATTACAGAGAGGCTAATAACATGCCCAGGTGCACAGAGAGTCAGCGTGTTGTAGCAATTATATTGACTCTCCCCCTTGGACTCAGAATTGGAAGTGGCACCATGATGGTTTGTTTTTTTAAAAAACGTTTTAGTGATGAAGTCAGTGCAGCACCCCCACTTGGGTCCACAGGTTACAAGCAAGTAAAGCACAGCATAGCTAGGCTTAGCTAAGATGCTGTTCCAACACTTGACACACACACACACACACACACACACACACACACACCCCGCACTCTCCTTTTGAAGAGAAGGGCAGGCACAGCTGATTTACGTATTTGACACCTCAGGACTGAGCAAGCACACAGGGGCTGAGCATGCATGGCCTGCCCACCACAATCACACAGCCCAGACCACTCACAGGGTTGTTGTGAGGATAAAATGGGGAGCGGAAGATTCATTATTCCACCTCAAGCTCCTTGGAGGAAAGGTGGCGCACACATTTATGAATAAGTAAATAGTAGTAGCTGAACTGGAGAAGCACAAATCATGCCCATGTTTTCCAGTCATTAAGGGACACGGGTGGTGCTGTGGTCTAAACCACTGAGCCTAGGGCTTGCCGATCAGAAGGTTGCAGTTTGAATTCCTGCGACGGGGTGAGCTCCCATTGCTCGGTCCCTGCTCCTGCCAACCTAGCAGTTCGAAAGCATGCCAAAACGTGCAAGTAGATAAATAGGTACAGCTCCGGCGGGAAGGTAAACGGTGTTTCCATGCGCTGCTCTGGTTTGCCGGAAGTGGCTTAGTCATGCTGGCCACATGACCTGGAAGCTGTCTGCGGACAAATGCCTGCTCCCTCGGCCTGTAAAGCGAGATGAGTGCCACAACCCCAGAGTCGTCTGCGACTGGACCTAACGGTCAGGGGTACCTTTACCTTTACCTTTCCAGCCATTGCTTACCCTAGGTACAGGACTCGCGATTGAACTATGAACCGGAACAGGTACTTCAAGGCTTTTAGAGCGGCAAAGAGCAATTCTGTCTTGCTGGAGTCATCCGCATTTCCGACATAATAGTTTAGAACCTTGGTAAGTTTTCTGAGGCAAGAGAAAATAAGTAAGGGGGGGGCTATGTAAGGATGGACAGATCTGTCAGTTTAGGTTTCTCCCCCCCAAAAAAAATTTTCTTAAATTCAGTTTTCTACATTTCTGCACTAATTTGTGCAGACCTTAAAAAAAAAAAAGAAGTCCCCATGACAATGTCCAGTCATTGCAATGCACTTTTTCCTCATAAATACAATTCTGCAAACGTTCCCCTGTAATAAAATGCAAATTGCATTGCATTTCCACTGATAAAGGCATCTTCATGTGCACTTACTGCTAATATATACGTTTTTGTACACATTGGTTGGGGAACTGCATTGCAAATCCCCATTCTTCCCCATCAGCCTCCAAGTGGCAAGTGAGTGTGAGAGTTTCACGTGGCCTTCCATTCACACAGAGACTAGCTTAGTGACAGCAATATTGTTGCATCAGGTGTCTCCAGGCCCTGGGTTGTGTCCAACGCCATTCCTACTCAGAACAGACCCACTGAGGTTAATGAAGCTAAGTCTTGACCATTAACTTCAATTGGTCTATTCTGAATAGAACTAGTATTGCTAAGCTGCTGAGTAAGTAGCCTTATTTAGTCATTATATTCCCAACATGATTAAAACTGCATGTAGAAAGCATGAGTGGGGCCATATATACCAGTGTCCTACCCCCCACTGTCCATGGACTAGGGCCATGAAGATGCATAGGCTGTTCCTGTGAGCGGGAACCAATAGGCCAGGGGTGGGAATCCTTAGGCTTAGGGACTGAATGTGGCTCTCACTTCCCCCTACTTTACACCCCCGCCTGACTTAAATGTGACTTTGAACTCTAATAATGCCTTTTGCTTGTCTGGATGAAGGCTAGAGAGGGATGTGTGTGAAGAGGTGTGGGAAACCTTTGGTCCTCCCAGTGTTGCTGAACTGCAACATCCATTCTCTTTGGAATTGGCCATGATTTCTGGAGCTGATGGGAGATGTGGTTCAGGAACATCCTTCCACCTGGTGCAGAGGACCACATATACCAGTGTCCTACCCCCCACTGTCCATGGACTAGGGCCATGAAGACGCATAGGCTGTTCCTGTGAGCGGGAACCAATAGGCCAATAGGCCAATAGCCAATAGGCTATGTTTACTCCTCTGCCCAGTTTCACCTCTACCCCTGCTCATCACCGGCATGGGACTCTTCAAAGGTTGTCCAGAAGGGAAGGTGGTGAACAACTGAACAAATAAATATTGAGGTCCCCAAGCCATTTCCTTCATATCAAGGACCCAACTCCAATATACAATTAAAGTAGTATCATGCCATTTTAAACAGCCATGGCTTTCAGAAAAGAATGCTGCTAAGTGTAGTTTGCTAAGAGAGTTGTTAGGAGCTCCCTCTGTTCCACAGAGCTACAATTCCTAAGATTCCCTGGGAAGAAAAATTGACTGTTAAACCACTCTGGCAGCTGTAGCTCTATAAGAGGAATAGGGGGTCCCCTAAGAACTCTCAGCACCCTAAAACTATACTCCCCAAGATTCTTTGGTGGAAGTTATGGTTGTTTCAAGTGGTATGATACTGATATACAAGTACAGTGCAGATGGTGTCAAGAATTTCCACCTGCCTCCAGTAGGCTAAATGCAATTACAGCCCCCACCCCCACTGAATGTACTAACACATGAGGTTGAAATTCATAACCCTCTTCTTCCAAATAAAGGCTCACTATGCTGGGTTATACATTAGGGACTATTTTTAAGCAGAACTCTTGCTACCTTAACGTGTCAAGAGCAGAGAAAAACCAC